TAGAGCACAGGCTCATAATACCAAGGTTGCCGTTTGGATTCCCACATGGGCCAAGGAGCTGCACCCTCCACAACTATAAATTGAAGACAATTACTTGACTTGAAGCTGATGGGTCCTGGAAAAATGCCTCCACAACTATAGATTGAAACAACTACTTGACTTGGAACTGGAAAAAAAAAACTGTTCCCCAATAAAATTTCAGAAATAAAATAAAATAAAAAGGTCCTGTACTGATTGAACATTTAATGTGAAATCATGTGGGTGATTTCTAAAAAGCATACCAAGTAAAAAAGAAAGCTATACAAATATATGGTGATGGAAGGAGAACGGATTCTGAGTGGTGCACACACAATGTGATATATAGATGATGTATTACGGAATTGTACACCTGAAACCGATGTAACTTGACTAACAATTGTCACCCCAATAAACTTTAATTAGAAAAAAAAAATAGAAGGCTATAGATCAAAAGCTAACACTGTCTGTGTGACCTCCAGAAAATGACTTATTTTCTCTCTTCTTCATCTATTAAATAAAAGGTTAGATTTTAAATGACCTAAGGTCCTTTCTGCATTTCTAGAACCCAAATTTGGACTCAACTCCTAGTTCCTTTCACTATACCATGCTGATTAAGAATAAATTAAAATTCTGGCCCTTTAAAAAATTAATAAAAGATCTCCTACATCCTTAAGGATGAACTATTAAATGGCTTTTCATGAACAGCAAATCTCTGCTTTTCAGCCTTACCACCTCCCCACATAGGGACTTCGTATATAAGTCCTAGACCTATCCAATAGTCAACTATTTTCCAATCCTGAATAAAAATCCAGAGCGAGGTTAATTGCCTGATTTTTACCCTGCACAATGAGACGACATTATCACTGGGATGTGAATGTTCTATCTAATCCAAGTGATATTTTATTTTGATTTATTGCTGTTTCACTTCTCTTTCGGGGTCACTCTCTATTTCTTTTTTCTTCTATTAGAAGGGCAGGTTGTGGGGTTACCAGACATTCAGTATAAAATGAAACCTGATAAATTTCACCACTTCTGAGGACAGAAACATAACCTGACATAATACTTCCTACGCTCCACTGGGGCAAGCTCTGTTGAATCAGGCTTGAATGGAGTCATGCTGTGTAATGTACTCCAATATAGTGTAGCTAATGCCAAAATGGAAAAGTGGGAACTGTCTCCTGAAATCTGCTACAGGTACATGAGAAATTCCAAGATGAACAAAAGTGACAAAACCCTGCAATATGCCACATTTTTATTTCATGAAGATAGAAGGTGACAGAGCATGATATCCATCTTTGGCAAGACTGAATAAAACATCATCTGAGTCACCAGTTTAAAGAGACTTTGCTTTAAAAATATAAACTTGATCCTATGAGTTGTATTACAGATTGAACTTTCTTTATAGTTGTCCTGGAACCTAAACTACAGGAATAACTTGGTTTGCGAGCATAATTCATTCCAGAAACAAACTACTCGTATTGCAAGACATTGTTTGTTTACCATGTTAAAATGTATTAGAGGGGCTCAGTTGGTTAAGCGTTGGCTTAAGAGCGCGAGCTCTGAGCAACAGGGCTACTGGTTCGATTCCCACATGGGCCAGTAACACTGCACCCCAGCTGAGATGTCACTGAGCTGCCAACAGGCAGCAGGATGGCTCAGCTGGCGTTAACAACAAGATTGCCTGTTCGATGGTGGGCTACGCCCACCCACAACTAAGATGAATTCGGCACCTTGAGCTGAGATGTCGCCCGGATGGCTCAGTGGAAAGGGCATGCGCTCTTAACAAGGCTGCAAGGTTCGACTCCCGCATGAGATGGTGGCTACACCCACCCACAACTAAGACTGAACTTAAGAGGCCACAAGCTGCCGACGGGCAGCCAGATGGCAACTGGCGCCCTCCACAATGAAAACTGAAGAACAACAACTTGGCTGTTTCCCTCCCCCAATTCCCCAATAAAATCTTAAAAAAAAAATGTATTAGAAATGTTTGCTCATCTTGAGGAACACTCACAAACCATGTTACTCGCAATCCAAGATTTTATTGTACTTAAAAATTTAAGAGTATTTCTAACTTTTTTATTCCTTTGCCTAAAATAACTGTTGTTAATAATGAGTCAGACCAGTATTATAAAAATCATCTTCTGTATATGTGGACGTAAAAGATCAGACCCAGTTTGGTGATGAGGCAGCAGAGCCTAGTGGTTAGCAGTACAGGTTCTGGAGTCATAGAGTCTGGCTTCAAATTCTGGCTTTATCATTCAATTATGTGACCTATATAACATACTTAACCTCTGTAAGCCTCAGTTTCTACATCTGCAAAATGGGACTATCAATAGTATAGCAAGACCATTGTTGTGAGCATTCCATTAGGTAATGTATTTAGGACAGTATGTGGCAATTAAATAAACACATAACAAATATTAGTGGTTACTACCTAATGACAATTCCTATTAATGGCTGGCAGTTAAATACTTAAAAATTGAAACTAGCTTCTTATCTTCAAATATGCTAAAATAACAATCATGCCAGTTAGAATGCAATTTAAAATACAGTATGCACAGGTATTGGGCAGCCACCTATTCTGTCTGGTAAACATTTTCCCACATGCAAATTATATACCAGCTCCTTTTACTTTTCAGTGTGACACTGAGATGACAACAGAGAAATGAAATGCAGTACTGTGCTCTATGGTGAAGAATTATGCCACCTGGCTGTGGATCTTACCCTCTGTTCTTATTCATTTCCATCCTATTTCTTTTTAGATTCAGGCTCCTTTCTTCAAACCTTCAGGCTGTAGGCCATGTTAATCTGCAAAGCAGTCTGGAACACTGTCCTTGACACTGGCAAATATAAGACAGCTCCATTCTTAGGCTTCTGCTTTTAATATCTAGAGCTACCACATCCCTTTGTAGTCATGGAGAGAATTTGCTAGGCTCTTGGGGAAACCAGGAACTTCAACCATACATGTACCCACAGAATTGTGGTCTCAGACACCCTTTAGCTAATACCATTTCATTCCACGATTTTCTTAACACTTTATGGCTTTTAAAGGTATGCAACAAAAAGGAAAAAATAGCAAACTCTTAAGAGAACAATTTGAAAGAAGAGGGAAGTGATGAGAATGTAATTACTCTAATTATTCCACTTGCCTTCCTCTCTCACATACAACATAAGGGTGCAAAGTTTTCAATTCCAATTTTGCTTCAATGTTTAATATTATTTGTTTGTCATTCCTCTCTATGGTCTTGTCTTTTTTTTTTAAGATTTTGTTGGGGAATTGTGGGAGGGAACAGCATTAGGGAACCAGGGAAGGGGAATGGACAAGTTGCTGCCCTTTTGTTCTGCAGTCTCATTGTGGAGGACGTCGCTTCACTGGCCCATATTGGTATTATCATTGCGCTCTTCCCGGCTGAGGCAGATCGGTCGCCTGCCACTGGATGGCCACTCACACTGGCTGCCGGCCATACATAGTAACTTACAGCAGCCCACTGCAGACCCACTGCAGCCTACGCCGTCGTCGCCTGCAACTCATGGCAGCCCAGCTCCAGGTCTAGCTGTTGTTCACCATCTTAGCTGTAGAGGGCGCAGCGTCACTGGCCCATGTGGGATCCGAACAGGTGGCCCTGCTGCTCAGAGCTCCTACTCCCAAGCCAACGCTTAACCAACAAGCCACTCGGCCAGTCCCTCTCTATGTTCTTTTGAATCAGTATATTGTTCTAGAATATTAGTCTCTACAAATAGGGATCATTATTCTGTAATTTTGATAACCTCAGGAAAGTTTGTCTTTGAGGGAATTAAAAAACATGAGAAATGAGTGGTAAGTAGACTAGGGAGGATAGTATAACAAGAGCTCACACTTAAAGAGTGTGTGGGGGGGCTTTTTTATTTTTAGAATCTGTATAATCTAAAAAAAAAATCTGTATAACCTATAATCAATGTTATGCTTGACTTCTATTTCTGGCTCCCTTTCATTCCCCTTACAATGTGAACTCTCCAGTTAATCTTTCCCTCCCAAACTTCCCCTGACATTTCCTCCACAATTCCCCACAAATTGGTAATCACTTAATAGTGGAGTATCTTTCTTTTTTGAAATGGGATTTTAAGGCCTGTAGGACAAATTGCTTCATTCCCAAAATCAAGCTCAATCTCACAATTATCAGTAAATTCAACATATTGCTTTCAACTGTATCCCCACCACATGGAACAGTGTCTGACACATGGTGGCCACTTCAGTACATTTTTGTTGAATCAATGATTTTTCTTAAAAATCTGAAACTGGTCACAGCGCAGTAGCCATCTTGTTACAGAACCCACAGTCTGTCTCGAGCAACCATTACCAAGTTTGAGATGGGCCTGAGGGGCTTCAGTGAGGCCCAGCACAGCCGGGGAGGGAAAGAGCCTGAGCTAAAGTATCTTTCCTCTTTTCACGATAATTAGCCTAATGGAACCCTATGCTGGATGTGAACAAAAGGCTGCTACAGTGGAATCCCTGTGGTAAAACACAGCATGAATTTGCCTAAGGTCTGCATTATCAGCTGTATTTCAAGTTACGGCAATAGCAACAGGCAGCCGAAATAACGAATAAACGACGAGGCCGAACAACCAAGGCTCGGAACCCAAGGTTTACACTGAACAAAAGCCTAAGACAAGATGGCCTATCTGCGCGGAGCAGAAGTGGGGTAAACCTCAAACGCCGAGGAGCGTGCACGCGCCCACGCTCGGCCCAAACTCACGTGAGCTGGGGCATCCAATGAGTGCTGTAGTTAGACTCCACCCCCGTTTTCCGCCATTCCCTGAGCACATGCGCTCCAGGAGCATAGCAGGACGCCTGCTGCGCCGGTGCAAAAGGCCCCGCCTCTCACGCAACTGACGCAAGGAGACTGTAATCGTTTCGCAATTTATCTCGTGTGACCTTGAGTCTTTGCTGTCTCTGAGGACCGGGGCTATCCAAGGTATTGCCTTTATACCTCGCTTAGCCCCCTCGCCTCTCACTGAGCCCAGACCTGCCGCAGCCAGAACAAAAGGATAAGCTTTTCCCAATCATCTTGCCGCGGAGCGTATTAGCCATACACCCTGACTCCGGAAGCGGCGGTCAGATAGTCTCTGGTCAGGCAGTGCAGGCAGCACCTTAGCGGAAGAGCGGACCTCCAGGCCGCAGCGATCCACCCCCGCCCCCCCACCCCACGTGGTTGGAGGTTTCCAGAAGAGTTTACACCACCTCGCAGCGCAGCTCCTTGTAGTCCGAGCGCTTGTTTGCTGCCTGGTACTTCCACCACCAAGCCGCCATGATAAGCGCCAGCCGCGCCGCGGCAGCCCGTCTCATCGGAGCTGCAGCCTCTCGGGGCCCCACGGTCGCCCGCCACCAGGTAAGTAACTGTCGGGCCTTCACCGAGGGGCTCACGGCCTTCGGCCTGGATACAGCAGGCGCGCCCTTCAGGATCAGAATTCTCTGGGAGAGATCAGGAGGGAAGATAACGGGACTTCAATAATGAGCGCTACCAGTTCAAGGCCTATTTCAGGGTTTCTCTCCGTGTCTCGGGACCTGCTGAGTCACACCCCTCGCGATCGTAGTCTAACCCACGAAGTAAAGAATAGTGGTCGTGCTAGTCCGTTCTGTGGCAGATAGGACGGGTTTGGTCTTGGGGGTGAGGGACGCAATTTTAGTTGGAAGGGAACCACTATTCTAGTTTTTATTTCCACCTACAAGTCGTAGGGATGACTTACATCCCACTGTAAAATACAGTGTATGCAAGGCCCCGTTGCTATGTTGAGATGACGGAAGAAAGCACCTTACCAATAAAAAATTAAGGCCCAATTTTTTTGCTTAGAAATATATGCCTTGTTACCCAAAATCTTGGGTGTAAGATTATCCTTTTCAGTTATTTCAGAAAAAGTAAATTAGAAGAAAGCCACGGAGTGGTTGCTCATTGTTGGGTTAGACCAAAAACATACATCTTTGGAGAATTGGAATATTCGTCTCTGCACTCAAGTGGGGTTAAAGAATGGTCTGGAAGTATCCTGAGGTTAGATTGAAACAAAGGTCTTTGATCCTGGTTGGAGGCCACTCCTGAAAAATTTTTTCCCCCTGTATTGACTCCACAAGATTAGTAATCCCAGTTCCTTGAAAGCAGTTGCTTGGGTAAATGTCTCTAAATTAAATCTATATCTGCAGTACACAAAAAGGACTTAGGTGTTCTCTTCTCCTAACAATGAAATTGAGAAGTTTCTGATTGAGAAGTTTGTAATGCAGTGATTCTCAACCAAGGGCAGCCTTGCCTCCCAAGGGACATTTGGTACTTTCTGGAGAAAATTTTGGTGTCACAATTTAGGGAACCACGCCTCTGGCTTCTAGTGGTAGAGACCTGAGATGCTGTTAAACATCCTACAATGCACAGAACAGCCACCCACAACAAATATTTGGTTCAAAACCAGCACTGCCGAAGTTGAGAAACCCTGTTGTAATGTAACTTAAGAGAAATTTATATTTACTTATTTTTATCTGACTTATTTGGAAAACGCTTTATTAAATTTGTTTACTGTGTCAGTACCACATGCCCATGAAATGCTTTTATCATTTCGGTATGCTTTGTATGCACAGTAGCCACTTAGTTAATAGAATGAACGTCTCAAACTTTCGTGTGTTCGTCAGAAGAACAATTGGAATAAACTCAAGTTTTCATATGTAGTTGATGGCTGATGCAATTTTTTTCCTTTTTAGGATGGCTGGAATGGTCTCAGTCATGAGACTTTTAGAATTGTTTCAAGGCGGGACTACGCGTAAGTGGAACTTCATTTCCTTTGAGAGAAATGTTAAACCCCAGAACAGTGGTCTCTAAATTCGTGATTAATGATTCCACGCAACAAAAAAGATACATCTGTATTTATTTCCAGATTATGTACTGTGTCACTTCCCACAATGTCAAATATTTCCTTAAGTATTCCCTGCAATCATTTTGAAGACCACTGATGCATTGTTTTAAATGTCTTACAGATCAGAAGCAATCAAGGGAGCAGTTGTTGGTATTGATTTGGGTACTACGAACTCCTGTGTGGCAGTTATGGAAGGTAAACAAGCAAAGGTGAGCATCATTGGAAGCTCTGGATCATGTCATGGTAGCTAGTACCCAATCTGAAATTCTTTGTCCTTTGGCTTAGAGACATTTTAAAAGCTGCTTTTAAATTCTTAAGACTCTTATGAGATGAACCTTTGTGCTTAATTGCATGGTGCTAATAATTGAATGGATTTGACTTACTAGGATTTAAGTGTGTTCTAGTGTAGAGGTAAGACTACTAAGTTACCATTAGGACCCATTGGGATGGCTTGCACTATTGATTACTCCTGTAATTAGAGTCCTGCGTTTTTTGTTTTGTTTTGTTTTTTTTAAGCTGAGCCGTCCTGTCACCTGTTGGCAGCTCAGCGGCTGCTCAGCTCGAGCCAGGCATCGAACCGATGTTGCTCAGAGCTCAAACTCTTGAGCGAGCTCTTAGCCAACTGAGCCACTCGGCCGACCCAAGAGTCCTGCGTTTTTATAAGTCAATTGAACCAAGGTTGGAGGTACAGGAATAGTCTAGAAGTAAGTGGAGCCCCATATAACACATGGGCTGCATCCTAAACTAAGTAAAGCATGTTCTTAGGCGCTTCCTGCTGTGGTAAAGGCTATTCTTCCAGAAGCCTCCCTAAATTTATTTTATTTTATTTTAAATTGTTTTTTTTTTTCAGTTACAGTCGACATTTAATATTTTACATTAGTTTCAGTTGTACAGCATAGTCGTTAAACATTTATATAATTTATGCAGTGATTCCCCCTGATTAGTACCCACCTGGCACTATACATAGTTATTGCAACAGTATTGACTAGATTCCCAATGCTGTACTTCACATCACTGTGACTAGTTTGTAATTACCAATTTGTATTTCTTAATCCCTTCACCCAGCTTCCCTAGCCCTCTCCCCGCCTTGTTCTTTTCATGAAACACGAACCTTTATTCCCACTGTATTCTTAAGATTTAGAGCACTTGGGATTCTTAAATTGCTTCTTGGCAATTTTTTATTTTATTTTTATTCTTGAAACTTAACAAAAAAAAATTGAGAAGATTTAATTCTCCATGCGGAAGAAAAGATTACCTTTTCCCTAATTGACTATGAAAGATCTGGTTTACATTTATCCTGTTTTTTCTGTTTTTAGTTATATATTGTTTCAAAGTAAACAACTAAATATATTTTAAACACCTAGCTCCAATAGATGGTATTTACTGTACCAGCATTCACAGAGCAAAAAAGTGTGCCAGTTAGTACTATTCTTGAGCCTTTGTTTTGTGATTTGGCACCTGTTTTGTCTTAAGTGATTGATATAAAGACATTGGTGGTGACTGGAACCTCATTCTCTGTCTTGTTTTGGGAGTTGTAGGTGCTGGAGAATGCCGAAGGTGCCAGAACCACCCCTTCAGTTGTGGCCTTTACAGCAGATGGTGAGCGACTTGTTGGCATGCCAGCCAAGCGACAGGCTGTCACCAACCCAAACAACACATTATATGCCACCAAGCGTCTCATTGGCCGGCGATATGATGACCCTGAAGTCCAGAAAGACATGTGAGTAATAGCAAAAGTGTAGTTATTTGCAAAGAATCTTTTCAGCAAGATCCCTGGAGCACTTAGTAATTTTACATGTCACTGGGGGTAAACCCTGCCTCTGCCAAAAGGACGTCTTCAAAAAAATTCACTACCATCTCCACAGATTAGGTCTTTTGCTGTGTATAGACACGATATGTGAAGATTTGGCTTGTCATTCCTGGACCATGTGAATTGGTGTTAAACTCATATGGGAGCTATTGGTATAGGTTCCATTATGTGCTGATCAGATATGTTTTCAAGGTTCGTCCATGCTGCAGCATGTATCAGTACTTCATTTCTTTTTCTAGCCAAGTGATATTCCATTGTGTGGATATATACTACACTTTGTTGATCCATGTTAGTTAACAGGTATTTGGGGTGTTTCCACTTTTTGGCTATTATAAATAATGCTGCCATGAACACCTGCATACAGGTTTGCGTGTGGACGTTTTCATTTGTCTTGGCTAGACACCTAGTAATGGAATTGCTGGGTCAAATGGTAACTGTAATTGCTTCCCAAAGCAACTGCATAAATCGTCTGGTGGGAAGTAAAAAATGTTCAGGTTTCGTCAGGATGTTTTTACATGTTAATGATTATTTTCTAAAGGTTTTCATTAAATGAATTTCGGAAGTTGTCATTGGCCATGGAACTCTCGGATGGAGGGTGGACATTTATGGCATATGGTAACTTTGTCATGGTAGGTTGCACTAGCATGTTTTTTCACATAACAATTTTTGTGTCTTGCAGTAAAAATGTTCCCTTTAAAATTGTCCGTGCCTCCAATGGCGATGCCTGGGTTGAAGCTCATGGAAAACTTTACTCTCCAAGTCAGATTGGCGCATTTGTGTTGATGAAGATGAAAGAGACTGCAGGTGAGAAGATTTGGTTCACATCTGGGAAAGTTCCAAGAACTGGTGATTTCTCAGATCACTAGCTTTCATACCCCAGTGTCCGTCCCTTGGATGAGCCTTTGATGGCTTTTATATAGAGATCCTAGGAATGGCAATATTTTGTTACTCTTCATATTTTCCTTGCAGATTGAATTTATCTTCCAAGTTTTCCTAATGGTGGCTTTCTTGTTTCTTTTTCTAGTGTAGGGGAATAGTGTATTGAAAGCCAAAAGACTACACATTAAGCTTTTGTCTCTGTTAGGTAAAACTTAGAACTTCCCATTTGAAGAAACTAGTGGCTGTTTTTTAAGTCATTGTAGCTGGTGAACCTTCACTAAAATGTTAAAGGTGAGATATTGGGTTTTTAACCAATGTTTTTAATTGGCGTGTTTTCCTACAAAGTCTCTACATATTAGGTCACATGCTGAAAAACAGATGACTGCTCTGTGGCTCCAAGAGGATGACAGGTTGTGAGGCTGCGTTAGTAATTCTGTTAACTATTTCATCTGACAGAATCTCACAATTGAATTCATTCTTTGATTCTTTTCCAGAAAATTACTTGGGCCATACAGCAAAAAATGCTGTGATCACAGTCCCAGCTTATTTCAATGATTCTCAAAGACAGGTGAGTTCCATTAGCACTTTTATTTAGAAAATTAATGATATTTGGGACACAAAGGTGGAAAATGCTTTTTTCTTTTTCTTCAGGCCACGAAGGATGCTGGCCAGATAGCTGGACTAAATGTGCTTCGGGTGATCAATGAACCCACAGCTGCTGCTCTGGCCTATGGTCTAGACAAATCGGAAGACAGAGTGTAAGTCTGTGCAGTAAACGCCACTTAAATTTATGAGACTAAGTTTATGGAACGATGAGACTTATCCTAAGGCATAATCTAGATTTCTTAGTGATTGAGCCTTGTACTTTGACTAAAAATACACTGCCTTGATTTTCTTCAAGGCTGTATGGTCGGTGTTTTTCATTCATTTCAAGACCATTCCTTTACTTTTTTTTTCATAAGTACTAGTCTAGGGTCATTTTCCCCCTATTTGGTGTGTATGTTGGCAAGTATTTATCCAAAAGAGCGGTTGAATACTGTCAACTTTGCTTTTAAATTAATTTCTTTCATTTTAACTGTATATTTTACATGTAGCTGTTAGGGCCACATGTTGAACACAAATGTCACTTAGGCAGTTATCAAATTTAATAATAATTACACCTTAGGGGAAAATAGCCAAGTTATGTTCATTTGGTTGTTGAAATAGGTTTTGTTCCTTAAGGCCTTCTTTTTTCTTTCTAGCATTGCTGTATATGATTTAGGTGGTGGAACTTTCGATATTTCTATCCTGGAAATTCAGAAAGGAGTATTCGAGGTGAAGTCTACCAATGGAGACACTTTCTTAGGTGGGGAAGACTTTGACCAGGCCTTGCTACAACATATTGTGAAGGAGTTCAAAAGAGAGGTTAGTTACCAGCAGTTAATATGTAGACATTAGGATGTTGAGCATTTCCTTGTTCAGATTGCTGTTTGCTTTATAATTTTTTGCCCTGAATAGAGCATTGAAATATTTGCACTTCAGTTTTCTTGGGTGGACTGAACTGTTCTGGTTATTGTAGCTTTAGATTGGGAATAAACAATTGATTGAAGGATGTGGCATCCTGTGTACAGTATTGGAAAAGGAATTCTGGAACTCATTTTTTGAGCTAGAATCCTACAGCTGAAAGAGCTGAGATCAGTTCAGCCTTCCATGTACACATAGCTTTTTTTTAGCATAGGTTTTCTTTTCCCTGCAGATTTTTAAGGGTAATAAGTAATTCATACTTGTTCATAAAGGTATGACTCTATTTTGTGGTGTTACAGCTTACCACTGCAATTTAAACGTATTTATCACTTCACTAATACTAGTATTGCATGTCTTCACTTTGTAGACAGGAGTTGATTTGACCAAAGACAACATGGCACTTCAGAGGGTTCGGGAAGCTGCTGAGAAGGCTAAGTGTGAACTCTCCTCATCTGTGCAGGTAAGATGTGGACAGATCCCAGCTGTCTTGATGGTTCTTTTCACCTGGAGTTGACTTAAGTAGCATGTTCTAATTGCTTTAATGTTAGTCTAATCTTTTTACAATATTTTGATTGATGGTAAAAACCTTTTCATGAATAAAGAAGCAGTATTTTTTTTTATGGAAATCTGTTAACCATCCAAATCAGAGGTGGTATACTAAAGCTAAAATCTAGACCAGCAGTGTGCAAAATTAGAATTGTTGGCCTGTAAATACTAGGGTACTCTCAGAACTGCTACTGTCTTCACTTAACTCATGACACCTCTTTGTGTGACTCTAATTTGTTTCTCATTTAATTATTTGGATCACCAATCTAGAAAATGAGCTATGAAACCTAACTGAAGGTGGGTTTGTACACCTGTGCAAGTTTTTTTCCCCTCTGTGGATATCAGATTTGCTCAGCGTCTGTTTAAGATGTCAGCGTATGCTGCTCCACTTCTGAGAAGTGAAGCTTCACTGTGCCTTAAACCGCTAAGAATGGAATTATAGAAAGCATGTTAGGCCCAGGTCAGAGATGCAACAAGATAGAAAGCAGGAGATCTATTTCCAGGTTCTCGGTGGCAGCAGGGAAGCAGGGCAGGTGACTAGTTGTTACTTTGATTACCCATTGGGAAGGGAAGAGTTATTAACTTGCAATCAAACCTGGATTTTTAAGTAATTATGAGGAGTGACAAAGTTGGACAAAGTCATCCATGATGTTGATGGTGTTGCTTTTTTCATGCTATCATACAGAGTAGCAGAACTTTGCAATATGATGGGTAGGGTTAGGGTGGAAATATTGTGGCACTGCCAGAGAATAGCTTATAATTCTTCCTAGGGATCTGACACTTTTTGGAGGGAGAGGTTAGTTGGTTTTAGTGTGGCTGTACAGTAAGTAATCACTTAATGTCATCGATAGGTTCTGCAACTAAGTGAAATGATGTATGAGAAAACCAATTTTACAAGAGGCTAATTGATCTAAACAAGAATTAAGTTCCTGTGACATGTCATCAATGTTAAAACAATATTCGAACAAATAGAACAAAAAGAAAAAACATTTTTCAGAGACCTGCTGTATCCTAATGCGAGGCATTTGGGTTGTTTTCCAGCATTTTGCTATTATGGCAAGGTGTATTGAGCATCCTTGTACATTGTTTGTGCATGCGTGATTGTAAATCTGTAGGATAAACTTCTAGAAACATGACCCTCATGGAGTTTACAGTTTTGTTTGAGGAGGTGGACATTATTTAGAACATTATGTTAAATGTGAAACCAGAAGTAAGGTAATGTAGAGGTTCAGAGAGGCTCTGTAGGCAAGACTGCTGGGATTCAGGTCCTATTTCATCACTTATCTGTGTGACCTTGGATAAATTACATTTCTGTCTTATCCATAAAATGAGATGATAGTGCTACTTTCCCCTTTGGAATTGCAAGGATTACTAGTATATATATGTAACATGCTTAAGACAACGTGTAGTAAATAGTAACTACTATAAATGTAAGCTATTAATCTGGTAGAAAGGCAAGGTTAGATTTATAACGGAAACCTGACAGCGGTGTTGACATAAGAAGAGCTTCTGAAAGATGAGTTAATCAGGAAGAGAGAAAGCATCAATTAAATATGAGTCCCTGGGGTGAAGATGTGAGAAAGGGCCAGTGTTGCTGAAGTGCAGATAGGCAGAGGGTGAGGGGCAGCATTGAACATGAGGCTTAGATAGAGGCTTTATGGATAGGTGATTGGTGTCTGTCCTGAGATGAGTAAGTATAAGCCATGGAAAAACTTGATACTGGGGGCAGTAACATGGTCAGATTTGGGTCTGTGGAAAACACTGGCTGAGGTGGAGTGGAGATGTGGTTTTCGTGGGGAGGGTTCTGGGGCAAAGGGCAGAGGGCCACCTGAGGGGATGTGGGAAATTGATGGGATGCTGTTGTAGCACACCAGTTGGTGAGAGAGGACTTGGATTAGAGTGTGATAGTGACAGATAACATAGTTTGATTTGAGAGACCTGAAGGACAAAACTGATAAGCTGGTTTTAGAGGGCTGTGCCTCTGGAGTGTTTGTTATTAACTTACAGCATATAGAATTGCACTAATACATAAGCCACATGTGGGTATTGAAAATTAAGTAAAATTTTAAAATTCTATTCCTCAGTTGTATTAGCTATACTTAAGTGCTCAGCCATATGTGGCTCGTAGCTGCTAAGTTGAACAGCACAGATGTAGCACATTGCCATTGATTGTCACAATTTTATGGGATCCAATTGGTTTGGAAAATTAAATTCTATTTTCTGATTTGGGTTAACATTTTGCAAAGAAAGAGGGAACTAGTCAATGGTGTTTTTTGTTTTGTTTTTTTTTAAAGATTTTTATTGGGGAATTGGGGGATGGGAACAGCACTGGGGAATTGAGGGAAGGGGAACAGACAAGTTGCTGTCCTTTCGTTCTTCAGTCCAGTTGTGGAGGACGTTGCTTCACTGGCCCAACTTGGCACCATCATTGTGCTCTTTCCGGGCAAGGCAGATCAGTTGCTGGCCTCTGGACGGCCACTCACGGCGGCTGTTGGCCGCTCACACTGGCTGCTGACTACACACGGTAGCCCATGGCAACCCACTGCAGCAATGTCTGCAGCCTACACTGTCGCCTGCGACTCATGGCAGCCCAGCTCCAAGTTGAGCTGTTGTTCACCATCTTAGCTGTAGAGGGCAGTGTCACTGGCCCTCATGTGGGATCCGAACCGGGGCCCTCTGGCATCCCAAGCCAGCTAGCTCTTAACCAGTGCGCCACTCGGCCGACCCCTCGATGATGTTCTTGAAAGCAATACCCACTATCACTATTTCTACAGAAGATGTGTTAATTTTCACCATTTGTTAAGCATGTAAGTGTCTCAGGTACTTTACCTGAAGAAAGGTGGTTAAGGATTTGCTCCCCTCAGTCTTTATCCCCTGTTGGCCATGCATTGATGTGAAGTTGGAGGAGAAGCATGAGGTAATTCTATTCCTAAGGCCCCACCCTGGGACACCTGTTTGAACATTTTTAGTGGTTTTTGTTAGTCTAAATCCATGCCTTATGAAGATTTGGGGTTTATTAAATACTGGCTATTACATGGTGTGACTGTGGCAGTGTTAGCTGCTCTCTGGATGTGATGGCAATAAAGTCAGTCCTTGTAGTTCTCTTCAGTATTTCTACTGTAGCTTTCTAACCATCTTCCTGAAACTTATAAAGCTTGGTGGCAGGTTACCTGGTTCAGAGCATGCCTTTGACGTTTTGTTTGTTTTGTTTTTCCATGTACATGGAATTTTTTAAAACTTGGTGGGAAAAAACTGTTGTGATTCTTAATGTATATTTAGTGGCAGAACATTTCTGCATCTGCTGAACAGGAATTTTTCCTGCTTCTCTACTCTGTTCTTCATTGTTTAATAACAGATGTTGTAGTGTTTACCTTTCAGAAGAAAAGAGGTTGAATCTTTTTTTTTAAGCTAATTTAAAATTTTTTTCAGTAATAACATTCAATATTTTATATTAAGAGATTGCATCTTAGAGTCACTGTCTTTGGTGGCTGTTTGTTTAAAATATGTCTGACCCTCCCTGTGACAAAGTCTTTCTGTCCTAGAGTGTGGGGTTATTTTAATTGATAATAAAGAAAATTCACCACTACTGGTCTCTCTGCTTGCTTTATAGACGGACATCAACTTGCCATATCTTACAATGGATGCTTCTGGACCCAAGCATTTGAATATGAAGCTGACCTGGGCTCAGTTTGAGGGGATTGTTGCTGATCTAATCAAGAGGACCATCGCCCCATGCCAGAAAGCCATGCAAGATGCAGAAGTCAGCAAGAGTGACATAGGAGAAGTAATTCTTGTTGGTGGCATGACTAGAATGCCCAAGGTATGGATCCATGGAATTCTTAGCATGACAAGCAGAGAGGTCCAGCACATAATATTTACTTGGGAAAACTGTTGTATGTTGTGTAGGGATATGAATATGTGGCCTTTCTTCATGGTAACCCTGAAAGGAGGATGAATTTGTACCCTAACTAAAGAGCTCTTTTCAGCCTCTTTTTAAATTCAAGGGTATAAGAAAAAGGATTGGAAAGGGTAAAATATCTTCGGAGTGGCAACAGGGAGGATATTGAACTTAAGTCTTGCAGAATTTTTAGGAAAGAAAATTTGAGGTCAGCGATAGGTTAAAACCTTGGTTCTAACTAAAGTAGCTTTTAGGGGCAATTTTGCAGCATAGTGTATGGGGTTTCTAATCACAGCTCTTCAACAAAGATTGTGCAGTGATGCATTTTATTCAACACATCATTCTGAAAAGACAGGTGTGTGGAAAACTACTGACTGAGCACAGAACTTGTTGAAGATGTGCAATTCTTTACAGCTTTCATAGAATTATATTGGACCTTGATATTTTCTTAATTTTTCCTTTGTAGTAGTATGTGGGCTTAGAAAAATATGCACAGAATAAACCTGGAGAGAAAAAGAGAGGCTTTGGACCACGATATATTTATGTTATAAATTATCCCAGATACTATTCAGATAGCGCTTTTTCCTAGCATTAATTAAAAAAAAGAGAAGAACATTAGCCCCAATGTTGAATTACTGAATGACCACCACTTTTTTTTTTTTTTAAGATTTTATTGGGGAATTGTGGGAAGGGGAACAGACAAGTTGCTGTTGTTTTGTTCTTCAGTCTAGTTGTGGAGGACGTTGCTTCACTTGCCCAAGTTGGCACCATCATTGCGCTCTTCCCACGCGAGGCAGATTATTCCCCGGCCTCTGGACCACCACTCACGCTGGCTGCTGGCCGCTCACACTGGCTGCTGGCTACACACGGTAGCCCATGGCAGCCCACTGCAGCAGGGGCTGCAGTCTAAGCCATCACCGGCAACTCACAGCAGCCCAGCTCCAGATTGAGCTGTTGTCCAGCATCTTAGCTATAGAGGGCAGTGTCACTGGCCCTCATATGTGGGATCCGAACAGGGCCCTCTGGTGTTCCAAGCCAGCTCTTAACCATCGCGCCACTCGGCTGGCCCGACCACTACTTCTTTTAAGTTGGTTTTTAGTTGACATGTAGAAGAGAACTTGGGCTATACAATTTCTAAGTCCCCTTGCCTTGTACTGTTTCTAATTTAATGTATTATATGGGAAACCAGATAACAAACTTACGCAAATTTTCCCCAAATTTAAAAGGGCTGTGAATGAGATACTCATGAGTGTTACCTACCTGATATACTTGTATCATTAACAATTCAACTAGGAAATACTAGTAATTTGAGTGAACATTCTTGGATCTGAAGCAACATGTCCTCTAATTTTCTGGGGTCTTAGGACACACGTGTGCTCTCTCCCCTTCTTGGGCAGTTGCTCTGAGTAGTGGGCAACAGGTTCTTTTTTCTTTAATGCTCAGGTTCAGCAGACTGTGCAGGATCTCTTTGGCCGATCCCCAAGTAAAGCTGTCAATCCTGACGAGGCTGTGGCCATTGGAGCTGCCATTCAGGGAGGTGTGTTGGCTGGTGATGTCACAGATGTGCTGCTCCTGGATGTCACTCCCCTTTCTCTGGGTATTGAGACTCTGGGAGGTGTGTTTACCAAACTTATTAACAGGAACACCACTATACCAACCAAGAAAAGCCAGGTAAGAGCCTCCCCACCCTAACTTGTCACAGAAATACGAGGTTCTGTGAGGGATGTGATTGCAGCCACTTTTGTGAGCTTTTCCTAGAAAACTTCACTTTTTGTTTTACAGACCATTCTAGTTGAATGTGGGTGGTCTTGTTCTCTTATTGTTCCTGGAAAAGTTCTCTTTACCTAACAGCCAGTTCTGATGAGTGTAGGAAAGGCATTAATATTCTCTCCTTTGTGGGTTTAAAATAATTTGCCAAAAGGAGCCTCATCATTTGGGACAAAATTCCCGTACTCCTTTGTTCTTAAAGGCAGTAAAAGGAATGGCCTGGTTACGACTGGGGAATGGGCTTGTCTTATGCATGAATACTGGATGTCCTGAGATACCAAGCAGAGCTATTTAGACAATGGCTTCGTCTTGGTTTAAGAATTATTTCCTGACACTCCCAATTCTGATGTACTTTGGAAAACTGGCTATTGCTATGTTTGTGCAATATGGTCAACATATTCTGAAGAAAAGTATGTAGTGACTTCCTGTGACAGCACAAAATCCTGTCTCTGACCTGCTTTCCTAGATGAGCATATTTCAACAGCTATTTTAGCTCCTCTTGAGGCCCTCTGTGCCAATGCTGCATCTTTGTACAGTGCATTTGCTTAGCAGAAACAGTAGCTATTGCATGCCCTTTTGCTGTGCTAATCCTACTCCTGTTCCCAGAAAAGACATAAGCCTTTGTTCTGAAAACAGTGAACATGAGGACTCTTCCAATATTGGGATGTGGATTTCTTTCTTTGGCTTGTACTATGTAAGGGGAGTAGTTTAATCAGACTGCCAACCCAGAAAGTTTCTTTCTCCTTAGGTGTTTTCTACAGCCGCTGATGGTCAGACTCAAGTGGAGATTAAAGTGTGTCAGGGTGAGAGAGAGATGGCTGGAGACAACAAACTTCTTGGACAGTTTACTTTGGTAGGTATTGCAAATCCTCAGTATGCTTCTCATTGTTTTTTTAGACTATATTCTAACCCCTAATATTACCATAAACTGCTGCAACACAGTCTGTGTTATCTTAGCATATAGTGCACAGATGACGTATACAACTGGATGCCCATGGCTTCCGTTTTTACCTAAAAGTCTTGCTTGGTTCTTGTGTCTTGGTAACTTCAAGAATATTGTAAATATAAGCACCAGGGAAATGGTCGTAAACAATGCTCATTAAGAGAAATTCCTGATTAGTAATTTAAGAGACACTTGATACTATTGGCTTCTAGTTAGTATTGTTTGTTGGTTCTTAGTGAGACAACACTGTGTCCCCAGGTACATACAGCTGTCATGGTTACTTGCTATAGCCAGCCTTCAATGGTATGAGCCCTGTTTATTTCAGATTGCAATGAAACTACTACCCTTACTTACAAACTTGTGTTTTTGTACATTTAATTAAGTGAAATTATCGCTTGTTCCTCCCTGGAACCAAGCACCTTGTTCCCCAGAAGACCATACAGGTTTGGAACTAGAGCACTGGGCCTCTTTGTGAGAGGAGCTTACTCTGGGTATGTATTTATTTTAGATTGGAATTCCCCCAGCCCCTCGTGGAGTCCCACAGATTGAAGTTACATTTGACATTGATGCCAATGGGATAGTACATGTTTCTGCCAAAGATAAGGGTACAGGACGTGAACAGCAGAGTAAGTGTTCTTCTTTATCAGACCATGAGTGAGGTGAGGGACCTTGGAGCTCCTTTCTTTGGGGGGGGGGCAAGACCCTCTAGGTTGTAGAAATCTTTTCTCCCAGACTCGGGGGGATGATGAGTCCTTTTTGCCCTTTTTCTCTTCCGTTATCAAAGATTCACATGAACAGATGTGGTGGTTGTTCCTCAAAACAGACAAGCATTGAGCCTCTGGATTGCAGAGCTGAAGTTTTGGTGGGCAAGATAGTCTTTGTGTAGATCAGACCCTTGGTTTTCTTCTGCTTATTATAAATGAGTGTCCCTTGTCACACATAATTCACATCAAAATTGGCTATTTTGAGCAGTAGTATTCTTAATAGAGGAAGTGATAAAATTTTACTTGGGAAGTAACCAAATGCTTTATTTTCACTATAGTTGTGATCCAGTCTTCTGGTGGGTTAAGCAAAGATGATATTGAAAATATGGTTAAAAACGCAGAGAAGTATGCGGAAGAAGACAGGCGAAAGAAGGTGATTACTTTCTGCCTTTTCAGCTAGGAGGTGAAAGTGTGAGTTAGGATATGTGCCATTGATCTTGAACTTCTCTTACCCTCAATCTGTCATTTCCCCCCTTTGCTCATAATTTGTGTGTGTGGAATGCCTTTCTTGTTTATCCCATATCAATTCTCAAGTTCTAGAATCCAACTAAAATCTTTTCCAGACATCCCAGACTACCTCAGACCACAGTGATTTCTCCCTCCTACTGGTTGTGCTCTGTAACTGTATGCAGCAGGCAGCATATTGTCTTGCTTAGTGAGGACCTGCAGCCAACTGGTTGGTTGAGAAGTTCATTTATACTAAATTTCTAATTTAGGAACGAGTTGAAGCGGTTAATATGGCTGAAGGAATCATTCATGACACAGAAAGCAAGATGGAGGAGTTCAAGGACCAACTGCCTGCTGATGAGGTGAGCCCTCTTTTATAATAGTTGAAGTTCGGAGGCATTGTCACCAATGCCAATGAAGTTTGTTTTTCCGTGTGGGTGTTGATAGGATTTGGTTTTTATTTTTAAATGTTTCTGAATATAACTGCTACATGTAATAGGATAAGAAACCCAGAAAAAGTGAGGGTTTTGTTTTGTTTTTAAGTGCAACAAGCTAAAAGAAGAGATTTCCAAAATGAGGGAGCTCCTGGCTCGAAAAGATAGTGAAACTGGAGAAAACATAAGGCAAGCAGCATCTTCCCTTCAGCAAGCGTCATTGAAGCTCTTTGAAATGGCATACAAAAAGGTACAAGGACTGAAGTGTTTTGCTCCTGATTTAGTCTTGTTATAACTGTTATTAATTACTCACTGATGATTCCCTGGATAGCAATTTATAGAACTGGGAGTATTGGAAATACCCTTCTTGACTCTACTTTGTGGGGAGAGGGTGAGGTCAAAGGGAAGGAGTCACAAAAAACCACAAGTATGTGTACAAGGAGGGGAGGGAGTGTGGAATAGGCAGGATATGGATGGCTCCTTTATTTTTTAGTTCATCATAGAGCGAACTGTCAGCTGTAGCATTAAATGAGTGGCTCTCAAATGTTTTCTTAACAGATGGCATCTGAGCGAGAAGGCTCTGGAAGCTCTGGTACTGGGGAACAAAAGGAAGATCAAAAGGAGGAGAAACAGTAATAGCAGTAAACTTTGGAGCCAAAAGGACAACATTATGACGCTTGGGAATAAAGGGACTTCCTGAGCAGAAATGGGCAAATTTCAGTCTTTACTGTGTTTTTGCAGTATTCTATATATAATTTCCTTTAATATGTAAATTTAGTGACTGTTAGCTAATGATCATTTAATGAGTGTTAATTCCAACAGTGCAAAGTTCACAATGTTCTGTCCCTAGCCTATCATTTTCCAGCTGCACGTAAAAGGGGGGAAATGATTTCTCGATCATTATAAAAACATTGTTTTGTACTGAAGTAGCCGTGTTTTCAAGGGGTGAAACCATCTCACAACAATGAAGGTTGTCAGGAACCTGGAATGAGACCATATTGGGGATGAGGTACTTCCTGTTAGCTGAGTACTGCTGTACCAGCCTGTGTATGCAAATGGAATTCTTCAACTGAGGCCTTGCAAGGCAAGCCAGCTGTGCCAAGTTCAGAGGTAGACAGGGGAAGCTAGATCAGTGGAAAACTAAGCTATTTATGTTAGGGACAGCTTTTAAAACAAGGTCATAAGGCTTCCTAATTTTCCTAAGGCATACTTTTCTAGCTACCTTCTGGCCTATGTCTGGCACCTGTATCCTTGATTGTTCTTTTTGATCCGTTCTGGATTTTTTTAAAAAATAAATATGAAAAGCATCTTGATCTCTTGTTTGTGAGGGGTGAGGCTCTGAGATTTAGCTTTGAGAATATAACATGCACCATACTTCCCAATTCCCTGACCTAGAGTCACTCAGGTGAAATACAGGATTTTCTAACATAGGCTAAAAATACAAATTCAAGATTTGGAAGGACTAGTATAATGCAATAAGCATTGTCACCAAGGAAAAATGTGGTTTAGAGTTTAGTTTGTTTCTCTTATAGCCCCAGCTTCTGTTTGGAATGTTAAAACAGTCTCTAGATCTCTTCTCTAGCCTAAAAACCAGGGCTGCTACTATTTTCAGGTCACTTTCAGTTCTAAGTAGCTTATATATGTCTAGCAGTAAAAGCCCTAAGGTATGAGTTTAGTGACTCACTAATATCAGGAACTGATTCTTCCCATATTTCTGCTCTTTAATCCTCAGCGAGTTTCCTTGTCCCAAATTCTGATGTAGTTCTAATTATCACATGCCGACAGCTTCAGAAGCAGAAAGGTGACCGCATCCTCCTTGTATCTCACTTAAGTGTTACTTCCCAAAGGTACTCCAGCAGACTTCCCTCATGTTTCATGGATTACTATCCTACGCCATGCCTAAAGGAAATCTGTTAATCAAGAATATGGGCTTGGACCCCATCAGATGTAATGCCTCCTTTTGTTATATTTTGTGGTGATATCTAGAAATGAAGTTCGTATATATTTTAAAAAATCAATACAGTGCTCTAATGTGAAGGAGATTTTACATTCCTGGAAAATTGTTTAACTTCTTTAGAGTCATATGAAAAATAAATTCTAGGCTAAAGTGGGATCCTTATGGGATGTGTAGTAATTCTTTATGAAGGATTGTGGCATGTTACAAGTTTAGTATCTGTTTGGTTCTCGTTCACTAAACACCTCTAGTGTCTCCTAATCATTGTGATAACTAAACCCTTCAAGGATTTCCAAAGCACCGCAGTTGAGAAATGGCTGCTATGATTCAAGATTCATCGTTGGGATCAGGGAGAAGGAGCCAACCATCCCCCTGAACAAAGTGGGTTCTGTTAGGAAGGAGGGAGAAGAGCTGCTTGGATAGGTACTCACACCCACTGTTTCAAACTGCCCCATGTGTAGTGAACGTACAGCAGTTCCACTTACCAATAAAACAAACAGCCTTGAAAAGCAAAAATATTTTTCTTCAGATAGTCTCCCTTTTGTGTTGACACTGCTTGACAGGTCCCAAAGGAACTTTAGATTTCCCTTCCTAAATTGGTATTTCTAGTTAAAGTAAATGTGCTGCTTAAGGTTGCCCAAACCAAAAAAACCTGGAGTGAACAGATCTAAGCAATCTTCCAAGTACATCCAGAAACAACATCTCCACTTAGTATAAGTTACTTCTTGGATTATTCCAAGTAGTCTTCCCCACTTAAAATTACAGACCCCCCTCCTCAAGTCCCTGTTATTTTCTGTCCTTAACCTTTATTTTTCTCCATAGCAGTTATTACCACTTAATTTGTTTGTCCTTCCCCCACTGCTATGGTCTGAATTTGTGTCCCCCCCTCCAATCCATAATGCTGAAACCCTAACCTCTTAAGGTGATGGTATTAGGAGGTTGGGGCTTTGGGAAGTGATAGGTCATGAGGGTGAAACTCTCATGAATGGGAGTAGTGCCCTTACAACAGGTTCCAGAGATCCCTCGTTCCCTTCTACCATGTGAGGATACAATGGGAAGTCTGATCTAGAAGAGGGGACCTCACCTGACCATGCTGGCATCCTGACAGACTTCCAGCCTCCAGAACTGAGAAAATTTTCTGATTATAAGTCACCCAGTCTTATTTTGTTAAGCAGCCCAAAAGGACTGACAGCCACCATGTAAAGTCCGAAGACCAGAAACTTTTGCTCACTGCTATTTTCCAACACCTAGAACAATGACATAAGCACTCAAATCTTTCATCAAATTAGTGAATCTCTCCCACTGTCCAAAATGATAGATTAAGGTCCCCCCTTGTTTTTAAAGTATATCTAAACTGTGTACTCAGAATCTGTCAAGAATACTAGGGGTAACTTACACCAAACCCAAAGACTAGAACCTTATTAGTAAAGAAAAATTCCTAATTAGAAGAAACGAAGGAGAAATTGATAATGTTTAGAGGACTAAAAAGGTTTTCCTGGCCCAGGAAGGTGAGCGGGGGAGTGAGATAGGAGTGACCAGGATAAATTTGCAACCATCTTTTATAGGTGTAGAGTCCAATTCTGTTGCCGATTCTTCTGTCAGTGGTCGGCAAACTTGAAACGGAAGAACCGCCAGGGGTCAGCAAATGGGGCTCGTGAACTGTGGCTCAGAAGTAAAATTGAAAATGAAAATACAACTATAATAGTTTCATTTATAAAATTTTTAAAGGATATTCACATAGTGGTCATTGTAAAAATATATTTATGGCTCTCGAATAATTTTTAAATTGTTGTGAGGGACAAGATTGCCTCTTCCAGAGGTTGGCAAACTTTTGAGATGGAACGTACCCGAAGAGCCGCATGTGGCTCGCAAGCCGCAGTTTGCTGACCCCTGTTCGATGTGCTCTTGAAAAACCATAAATTGGCTATTTACCCAGGCAAATTTAACTTTTTCCTCAACTTTATAATTTGAAATTTTCAAACCTAAGCTTAGAAAAGCTGTAAGAATAGTATAATGAACACAAACACACCTTTCATCTTGATTCAACTAACATTTTGACACATTTGCACTCCTTCACACTCTTGTGTGTGCTTTCTATGTTTTCTGGAACATCATGAACTTTAACCTAAATATCTCAGCACACATAATAACGGGACATTCTCCCCACAACTATTAAAATCAGGAAATTTAACACATAACACTATTATCTAATATATGGCCCCTATTAGAAATTCCTAATTGGGCTGGCTGAGTGGCGCGTTGGTTAAGAACTGGCTTGGGAAGCCAGAGGGCCCCGGTTCGGATCCTACATATGAGGGCCAGTGACACTGCCCTCTACAGCTAAGGTGCTGAACAACAGCTCAACCTGGAGCTGGGCTGCCATGAAGTCATCGGCGACAGTGTAGGATGCAGCCACTGCTGCAGTGGGTTGCCATAGGCTACGGTGTGTAGCCAGCAGCCAGCATGAGCGGCCATCCAGAAGCTGGCAACTGATCTGCCTCACCCGGGAAGAGCACAATGATGGTGCCAACTTGGGCCAGTGAAGCAACATCCTCCACAACAAATTGAAGAACAAAACGACAGCAACTTGTCTGTTCCCCTTCCCCCAATTCCCCAGCGCTGTTCCCATTCCCCAATTGCCCAATAAAATTCTAAAAAAGAAAATTCCTGGGCCGGCCGAGTGGCGCGATGGTTAAGAACTCGCTTGGGATGCCAGAGGGCCCCGGTTCGGATCCCACATATGAGGGCCAGTGACACTGCCCTCCACAGCTAAGATGCTGAACAACAGCTCAACCTGGAGCTGGGCTGCCATGAGTCGCCGGCGACGGTGTGGGATGCAGTCCCTGTGGCAGTGGATTGCCATGGGCTACGGTGTGTAGCCAGCAGCCAGCGTGAGCGGCCAGCAGCCGCAGTGAGCGGCCGTCCAGAAGCCGGCGACTGATCTGCCTCGCCAGAGAAGAGCGCAATGATGGTGCCAACTTGGGCCAGTGAAGCAACATCCTCCACAACTAGATTGAAGAACAAAACGACAGCAACTTGTCTGTTCCCCTTCCCCCAATTCCCCAGCACTGTTCCCATCCCCCCAATTTCCCAAAAAAAAAAAATCTTTAAAAAATAAATAAATAAAAAAGAAAATTCCTAATTGTCTCAATTATATCCTCTAACTTTATTTTTCATCTAGGGTCAAATCAAAGATCACACATAGCATTTAGTTATATCTATTCTTATCTAAGAATACTTCCTTTGCCTTTTTTGTCTCTTCACGACATTGACATTTTTGAAGGGTACATGCCATCTGTTTTGCAGAATGGCCCTTTGTTTAGAGTCACCTGATGATTTCCTGTGTTCAGAGTCATGTACACATTATTGGTAGGAATACTACGTAGGCGTTGAGTTTTTATTAATGCATCATTGCCAGGGAGAATAAGATGTCAGTTCTATGCTTCGCTCCATACTTCATTATAAAAAAACCTTTAATAAGTAATCTGTGGGGGTAGCCTAATTTTAAATGTAACATTTATACTAGAGAGTATAACAAGCAATAAAGATAAAAGGAAGTTCTTACAGATGGTACATGAGAAGACTGGGAATGAAGAGACAACATAAATTTTGTAAATAAACTACTTCAAGCAAAGACCCTTCACTATTTCGGATACCTCTGTGACTCCATTCTCCAGCCCTAAGGCTGATTTTGATTTTGTAAGGGCTCTGTCTCCTTTCGTGTCCTCTAATATCAGAACAATGAAATGAGTGACATCCCTAGACAGAGGAGTTATAGGGTGACCTACATTAATCTGTGAACAGCATGAAGAAAGTAATTCAATTACAGAACCATTGAAACAGCCATTTCAGTCCGTCAAAAACATTGAATATCAGCAATTTGGTTTAGTTTAACCTGATACAATGCATCATCAAAGCGACTTGCAGCAGCAAGTCACAAAACAGAAATGTATCTTCACTCTAAAGAGAAAGCTGCAGCTAAAACAAAGTATCCCACCTAATTCACAAGTTCTTAAATAGGTTCCTGTAGCCCCTGACCCAGATTGTGCAGATTTAAGGGCAATGGTGATGGGAGTCCACATGAATGACTTCAGGAGGTCCATAAACCACTGACTATAAAATGCAAAATTATCGGGCCGGCCGAGTGGCGCGATGGTTAAGAACTCGCTTGGGATGCCAGAGGGCCCCGGTTCGGATCCCACATATGAGGGCCAGTGACACTGCCCTCCGCAGCTGAGATGCTGAACAACAGCTCAACCTGGAGCTGGGCTGCCATGAGTCGCCGGCGACGGCGTGGGCTGCAGTCCCTGTGGCAGTGGATTGCCATGGGCTACCGTGTGTGGCCAGCAGCCAGCATGAGCGGCCCGCAAGCCGCCGTGAGCGGCCGTCCAGAAGCCGGCGACTGATCTGCCTCGCCAGAGAAGAGCGCAATGATGGTGCCAACTTGGGCCAGTGAAGCAACATCCTCCACAACTAGATTGAAGAACAAAACGACAGCAACTTGTCTGTTCCCCTTCCCCCAACTCCCCAGCACTGTTCCCATCCCCCCAATTCCCCAATAAAAAATCTTAAAAAAAAAAAAATGCAAAATTATCAATATTAAGTTTTCTAGGGAAATAGTTCTATTACTTTTACTGATTTCTTGAAGAATCTGTGACCAAAAAAGGGTGAAGAACCACAGGTTTCCTAAATGGGAACTCAGTCGACTTTACTGGTCTAACTGGCTTAAATTTAAGTCATACCCTCTTAGTCTGTCCCCCTTGCCATTTGCCATCTCCTCAATCTTGCATTTGCATTATTTAAGCATCGTGGTCTACACTTTTCCATCAAGCCTCACTCAGCCCACATTGGCTATTTCACTCAAATTTTTACACTTTATTTTTCAACTTTTTAATGTCCAATACGGCAACTTCTTATAGCTTTTATTATATTTTCCCCCACCTTCCGTTAGATCATTTTGAAACAAATTCCAGAAATCATAATTTTACTGTTAACATTTCAGTATGTACCTCTAAAAGGATTATTCTACAAAATAATAGATCATGATCATATCTTAAAAAAATTTAAAACTCCTTAATAGCAAACACTTGGAAGGTTCAAATTTTCTCAATTGTTGCATAACTTTTCCAACTGCTAAAGAGTAAGAAACCAAATAATGGCCACAC